TATTGGTGGGTGAACAATCCAACGCTTGGCGAATTCTGCTTGCAGCTCGATGAGTTCTACCTGCATATGAAAGACTGACCATTTTGTACAATGTTCGACAATGCCCGGGGTCAAATTCCGAATTCGGGTCCGGGATTCGACTTTTTCAAAATCTGAGTTCAGATTCGTGATCAGCATATTTTTTTACCCTAGAAAACCCCTTTTTCTTATTTTTAAACTTTTTTTCGCAGGGACCACAATTCTCCTGGATTGCCATGGAGTGTACTCGTTTTAGATGCGGCGGTTAATTTATAGTCCGATGGTTGTGTGATTTCTGCAAGCATTTTTGTATTTTGTCGTGCTAAAAACTTAGTCCTAGGCCCACCCTGAGTTCTGGTACTCACGCAGAAATATTTCCTGGGAATCAATTAAATTTTTTTGGTCTTGTATTCAAAAATTGTTTTTTAAATTTTTTTATTTTTCACTTTAGGCAGAGATGTGAGAAAATCCTTACTGTAATTGTGCAACTTCAATTGCTGTCTGCGCTGCTCTTGGTGGTATTTTGCAAGTTTAATTTTATATTTGTGGAAAAATTGTTTATTGTAGTGCGAATTTGATATATTTTTTGGTACCACTCGGTGGGGACCCCCTACTTTTAAGTGCGAAAAATATTTATGGACAATAAAAATCTATGTCTTCGGAATTGGTTTCGAGGGAACAGGCTCCGGGTCGAAAGATATGTCATTCTGGGTATTTGTAACATTCGAATGAACTCGTCAAGCTCAGTCAATTGACACCAAAATCACCGTGATTCGTTGATTCTGAACAAAATTGTCCAAACTGGTTCAATTACGGTGATTTTGGTGTACTTCGATATAGCTCGACGAACTCTTTTCAGTGATACGAGTTTGGACCCTCAAAACCAAAATTTCCCGTTTGAGTATAGTGGAGTGAGAAGAAATAAATTTTTGTTTTTTCCCTTCTCTGCTGATCCGAAACAAAGAGACCAACTCAGTCATTTTCCAAAAAACGGATATCATTCGCAATAGAAAGTCAGTAGTCTTCAATTGATTGGTACCAAAATAAATATTGAATTCGCACTGAAAATAAAAGAGATTCCGGTAATCCTAACTTTTACAGGTCCATAAAAAATTTGGTATTTTAATTTAATAGGTTCTTGCACATGATGAGCTCGAATATTATATCAGATTTGTATAAGACTTAACTAATGTATGATATTCGAAAATCTATCATTTTTACTTATTTTCATAAAAATGCTAAAATAATTTTCAAGTGATTCAAATTTCGTAAAACATACTGATCTGATAGTATAACCGAGCTCAGAATGTCTAAAACTCTATTATTGTAATTTAGAAAATGGATTTTGATTTTATTGTTTAGTGCCTAGTAAAAGTAAGATTACCGGGATTCATGTAAGAATAATGTTCTTAGCTTAGAGTTCTTATGGTTTTCAGTACTGGAATTATGGGTTTATGTATAGCTCGGTAGTTAATCATTTAAACCCAATAAAAAGGCCAAAATTGTTGATAAAGCGAAAAATTAAGAAATAAACACAAAAGGCACATGGATCGGCCCTATCCTAAAAAGAAGGCGCCTTGAATTTTTTTCAGCATTTTTTTCCATCCTTTAATATACAATAATGGTCAGACTTTTCTTCCCCGCTCAATGCCACCCTTTTTACCTGTGGCATATTCAAATGAAAGGGAACAAAGAATTAATAAAGAAAAGATTAATAAAAAAAATGAAAATTAATGATACAAAAAATGAAAAAAAGTTTGTTTACGTTTCACTTTCATATATTTGATATTTTTTGTTGTAATTTACAAAAATGGTTCAAAAAAATAACTAATATTGTCGAATCTAATGAGGTAATTGATTAATACATTATGTTTAATGTTAACACATTTTCAGTACTCACCAGATTTTGAGGTTATAACTTTTTTTTGGATCTTATCTTTGGATAATATAGGGGTGTTAAAATTCTTAGCGTACCATGGGTTACTGAATAACGAAATGAAGTGTGAAAATTGCAAAAATTTGATGGGATTAAATAAGAAAAAAGAAGATTTTGAGTGGAGATGTAAGGAATGTGGTAAGAAGAAGTCCGTTCTGTATAGATCGTTTTTCGAAAAAAGTAAAATTCCACTCAAGCTCTTGGCATTAATATATATGTGGCTCCAAGATTTTCGGAATAAAAATGTTGTCAAGGAACTTGACTTGAATAAAAACACAGTAGTTGATTGGTTTAACTACTGTAGAAAAGAATGTACTGTCAATAAGGAAAAAATTGGAGGACCCGGTAAGATTATTGAAATAGACGAAACTTGTTGGGTAAAACAGAAACATAAGCGAGGAAAGCCAAAAAAGGGAACGCAGATCTGGTAAGTATTCTTTTAAAAATGGCAACTAATGAACAACTAAGGTACTTCGGATGCATTGAGAGAGGAGAAGGAGGACAAGCAATTGCAGAGAGAGTTACAGACCGAAAACAACGGACATT